GATGGATAATATCCAAGTAAATTTTTATTTAAACTCATTCAGTTAGCCTATATGCTGATAAAATGCGAACTTTATTTGCGTACGTGAATTGTGTTAAATCTATACTTTTAAAAAACAAACTTTTGAGTTACAAATAAACAGCATTTCTTTTGATGCAGTAGTACGAGAATTTGCGACAGAAAAACTGGCCGGAAACCCAAGGAATCTGTCGTCTGAAAGAAGGCAATTTCGTACACACAAACAGAATAGGTGAGACACACAGAGTTAGTGCATTTGTGGCGATGCTAATCTACTAGCAGTAGTAGCAGTGTTCGTGCCTACAGACAGAGCTGAATGGGTTCAGCTGGCGAGCGACATTCTCAAGAAATACAATTACATTGTAATACACAACAATATGATAGTGTGGCAGCTCTACAGTATTTGTGCGCCAGGGTTGTTTCAGTTTTCAGACGAAACATTTGCTCAGTGCTTAAGATAAGCGTCTCAGCTTTTCGGTGGCAAACGTTTTCCCTTGTGCCGACATATGACCTTCTAGGCGGGTATTAATATTTCGGAGTAACACGCCGCCTCAATCTTCAGGGAACATCAAGTTACAACCCTAAAAATGGAGCCGTTATGTTCCTCCGAAACGTCGTCGTCTGCCTAGAAGTCAGACAAGCACTGACATATTCACAGCCGTGAGAACCTCAGATCGCAGGTTTTGAAGAAATGTTTGTGCCGATGAGGCACTTACGATTCCATGCAAACCTTCCGCGATCAATAAATTCAAAAGCAAAATTGATTCATTTGAATTATGGAACTGATATATTTTTCTGTTTTAAAATAGAATTAAGAACTACTTTTAGAAGCTGGTCACTCACGTTCGTTTGCACGAGCCGTAAGTCCTAACCCCTAAAAGTCTGATAAGATTAAGCGGTAATTTTATTACGGACTGGGACAAATTTCCAAAAAAATACAATTCTTCGGAATTCTTCAGCAGAAAATGAGCTAAAGCATGAGACAGTCGTGGAAAATTATTCTGTGCATTTTGAAACGCGGCCAACGCCCCCCCACACACACAAATAAGCGAACAAGGTTAGTACGAGGATGTCAATCGTTTCTGTTAAAAGTTGATGGGATTTCGCACAAATATAAACAAAGTAGCAAATTGTATTTAGAGCAACACTTGCTTAAATTCGTAGAAAAAGGAGCCAGAAGTGTTCAACCCTGACGCACACTTGAATACATATTACTAATCACACGTTATCATCATGCAGATATTTCAGTGACTTGTGACAGTTCCATCGTCTGTTACTGTCAGGAAGCTGCATGCAAAATTCCGTGTTATCTGCACCGAGACAGGGTTATGACGACGAAACTACTTCACTACCACTTACTTTCACTGCAAGACAAGGCTGACTCACCAACATTCTAAATCATAAGATCGCCAGACACCCTTTCGGGTTAAAAACAAAATTATCTGCAACTGCACAAATATGCATCATTTTCCGGTAAGAACTTTTGAGCGTGGTGATTTGAGTAACAATAATTGACGCTTGGGGAATATAAGTAATAGCTTGAATTTATTTCCGGAGAATTATTCTTCCTTCGTGACATTTTATTCTGCTGAATGAGGTCATCCCAACACCGTCCAGAGTTGTTTCGAAGTCAATGAGTGATTGATTCCCATTTGGATCGTGGGGAGGGGGGGGGTGGTCAGTGGGTAGAAAGACTGGCGGTAACCAGAAACACAAACAGCAGCATTTCTGCCCCCAGGCGGGATTCAAACCGCTGACTGTTCGAACTGAGACCGCAAGCTACACGATTCAGCGACAGCGACCACCAACACAGACAGTTTGCATACTGTGGTGGTCGACTCTCACAGAAAACTCCGCATGTTTTGGTCCTGTTCAAAACGAAAGGCGATACGATTTGCAAACACTGCATTTCACCACGGCGTTCACCCTTTGGCGCAGTTGCAAATAACTCGGCGTGTCTGGTTTTCCTCAAGAATTTGGCAGTCACATAGGACAAATTATTCAGCCACCACAAACATGCAATTAGTATTATACTTATGACTTATGGGTAACTTCTGCAGAAACGGGTTGTCAGCTGCAGAGGCGAGGGTGGGGATATATTAATTTGTTAAGTTGGCAGTAATTTGGATCTGCACTAATTGCTCGACACAGTTACCGACACTTGCTACTGGTATGGCCAATTATTGTATTTGTGCATTCTCAACTTGATATTTGTTTTTATTTATATCCTTGATTAGATGACGTGGTTTATTTTGAGTTCATCTCACACGACGCGTCCTACTTTTATATTCGGTCCGATCCGATCCCCGTAGAAGCTAGATAAGTCAAACGTCAGTAACCTACATTACGCAAAAACGCAAACTGAAACTTCGTCTCCGGCTCACGCTGCCGACATTCTTAAGCTCCCTGCACTGCAATTCTTCGAAAATCTGCGCGGTCGTGGTGGTAAAATGCTCAAGTGTCGAAACGCACAGCCGGTTCACTACTGTACTTCTGCAGCGAAAGATTTTGACGGAAGGAGACAGAGGTGCGAAGTGAGAAAGGGCGGTGAGTAGATCGTTCCTGTTTCGAATCTGATAATATCACGACGAAATAACGCACAGAAATTCTGTCTTATCAGAAATTCGAACCGGAGCCACCCCAGTATCCGGAATTCAGCGTAGTCTGTTTCGGAAGTGTACCCAGCGTCAGGCCAATTTCGATTTAATTACATCGTTGCAAGTGTCAGTCATGTTAATACAAATAGCATTGGCATGCGGTGTTAATGTGGAGGAATTTTGTTGCTTCGGAGACTACCAAGGCCTATCTCAGAATAGTCTGCGTTGACGTTAAATTCCAGGCTATTGTCACCCACAATCAGCGGTTTATCTCTCTGTTATTGAATATTTAAAACAAAATAAGTTTTATCATCAGCTGCAATCAGCGATCAGATACGCTCTGAGAAGTTTCTACATAATTTCCCAATGATATCATATTCATAAGCACTTTCCTTATCTGATTCCTTGCCGTTGTATCCCATAAATACGAGTTTCGTCCCAAATTCTCCACCTTTTTCCTTTTCGATTTTCCAAACGCGACTGTACAGTCCGTCTAATTTCGCATGGCCACTGAATGTCCCTCTCACGTTGTCCGGCATAAATCTTAAATTTTCGAACTGCTGGTCCCTCCCTCTCTCCCTGAACCGGTCACCACGTTACGTGGCGTGTGTGGCACGGAGCTGAGCCCCCACCGTGGGGTGCCATCACGTCATTATGGCACGTCTATCCACTCTGTGTCACTGTTAGATCCGACGCTTAGATCAGTAAGGCCTCTGAGTAATTGGCTCAACCAGTAGAAAGTTGACGTGGCAGTCGGAAGTAAAGCCTTGGCCAGGTCATGTAGACGCTGACCCTCCTCACCTGCGTCTAAAATGAGATCATCCACGTCCGAGCTATGGGGATCTGCGTCATCCCCCCGGTAGGATGTCCGCGATGTATCCCCAACCTCAGCCCCTGACAGCCCGGGGTACGATGACCCAGTGAGGAACCATCCTTTACCATCGCTTTTGCCGCTGGACTCTGCCTTGCAGCCGAACCACCAGTAGCCAGCAGGTCGTGGGAAGGCTGGATCAGCCGTGTCGACCTGAAACACGTAGGAAGGAAGGAGGAATCTGTTATTACCGGTGCAAGTTAACCGCGTCGTAGTACGTGTAGACCCAGTCACTCTTTTGATCTGTTTAATTACGTAGAGCGATATATGGCACAGACCTGTGCACCTCGTTCCATGTCGCTCTTGGTTTATTATTTTATTATTAGTGTTCTGTCTGACGACAGGTCCATATGAACAGGATCCTTCCATCCTTTTCTCGGACTGGGACCTGTTCATATACGTTCTTGGCAGATGATCCAGAAGTGGTTTGCAATTGCCTTCTTCTGTGTGTGA